GTAATTTTTAAAAATATATACTGGGGAAAAGGAGTGAGAAAGAGACTAAAACCAAAACTATGAGGAGAGCTGCTGCTGAAATGTTATTTTAATCTGCACAACAAATTGGATCTCCAGTGTTCAAACAAAAGCCCTGCTGGGGTGGTATTGGTGTGTGTGACTTGGGTAGAGAATGAGTTGAGAGCAACCACTGTGTTAGAAGCACAGGCTCCTACCCTGGAATCACAGGAACCTTCTAGATGGGGGGAGGTGGACCTGGAACTGAAATCACAGGATGTGACATCACAAAAGTGATATCACATCCTTGCTTCTGGCTCCACCCTCAAGATCCCCAGATATTTCATGAGTCAGACCTGACAACCCTATGCTAGGCAAGAGCCCCACTTGATTCCACCAACTTTCTAAAGACACTGGGCAGGCACTGGGAAAGGTTTCGGTGGGCGCCATGTCAGCCATGGGCACCACAGTGGGAACACCGGGATTAAAGGGTCGGACCAGGATCTAGGAGAATCCAGGTTCAAATCCCCACTCTGCCATGGAAACTTGCTGGGTGAGCTTGGGCCAATCACCCAGCTTAACCTATCACATGAGACTGTTGTGAGGATAACATGGAGGGGAAGAGAATGAGGTAAGCCGTTTTCAGCTCCCATTGGAGGGGAAGGTGGGGTGGAGGTGAAGTCAACAGTGTTATGTTCTAAGTTATGTTTAAGCTGCAGTATTCCAGATTTCTCTGTTGGAATTGGCTCTGTTGTGTATGAAATGAAATGTATGTTGTATTGAGCTTGAGTCTGACTAAGGTACTGTAAACCGACCTATCAGAACAAGGGAAGTTCTGGAGGGAAGCAAAGTGATTGGTCTTTATGTACAATCAGATACTATCTGACATGTGGGCATGGCTTGCCAAGCCCAGACTGTTCAAAAAGGAGCCTGTTGCTCCATTGTTTGTCTCGTTCTGGTTCTTCTGACTTCGTGTTCAATAAAGCTGTTATCACAGTTCACCTGCTGCCTCGAGTCTCGTATCTAACAGGCTCCCTAATAAAGACTGCCTATTGGTTCTAAAGCCATATAGAACGTCCTATCCTGAGGCTCTGCTTAGGTCCAATCAGACCTCCTGAATCTGGTAACATTGTAAATAGTTCAGTTATGAAATCGTCTAAGTTTGAGTGCCGCTCTTTGCAGAGCATTCCTGAGCTGAGCAATGTTTGAATAAAGCCTTTTCTTTTGACCATCGTCTCCTGCCTTCAATACCTAAAAAAACACAGTGGGGCACTTTATGAGCACATCGTTTCTCAGCCTTGCATGACAAGCAGAGCTAACCAAAACCGCCCCTACGAGACAAAGATACCAGAGATCTCTGGTTTTGTGCATCTAAGCATTCTATCTGAAGAAGTGAACAGCGACTCACGAAAGCTCCTACCCTGCCACAAATTTTGTTAGTCTTCAAGATGCTACTGGACTCTTGCTCTTTCTACTGCTACAGACAGACAGACATGGCTACCCATTTTGATCTATTTTATCCCCGACCGCTTCAGACCAACACGGCTACCTGAATCTATTTTATCCCCAGTACTTAATAAATGGATTCTGAGAACTTCGTTGTGTTACTTGCATGGGGTTCTACAACTGATTCCTAGATGCCGAAAATAACAGAATTGTCCATCTTGGGGCCTGGTTATGAGGCCCCATGTGATAAAAAAAATAGCACTTCATTATTCTCATAGGAAAGACAATGCATATAAAATGCGAACACTTTATTTTTGCAAAAATATAACAGTCAGGATACAAAAGGAAATGATAATCTAACGAAAACTTTTAACATGTTTTGAAGTCCCTCATATCGTGAAATCCTCATCTGTGGTTCAATATCCCTTGATCCAGTCCTGCTCCCTCATCCAAACATTCACTTCCAAATTTCACTGCTCGGATTTCCTCTCCCATTATCATATACTGCTGGTGGCTAAAGGTGCCTGATGGTGGAGATGCCTTATTCAGAGTCGCATCACGGGCCCTGCTACAACAGCACAATTTGCCCAGAAAGCCAGTTTGGTATAGTGGTTAAGAGTGGTGGACTCTAATCTGGAGAACCGGGTTTGATTGCCCACTCCTCCACATGAAGCCAGCTGGGTAACCTTGGGCCAGTCACAGGTCTCTCAGAGCTCTTTCAGCCCCACCTCCCTCACAGGGTGTCTGTTGTGGAGAGAGGAAGGGAAGGTGATCGAAAGCCACTCCGAGACTCCTTCGGGTAGTGAAGGGTGGGGTATTAAACCAACTTCTTGATTGACAATACAGCCTCCGTGGAGTAAGGTTGGCGTCTTTCCTAGCCCTTCTTCTTGAGATCCTTTTTGAATTAGATGCCAGATATTGAAACTAGGATATTCTGCACATGAAGCATGTACGCACTGAGTTATGGCCCATCCCTAAGAGAACCACAAGGCCCACATCTGGTCCAGGAAAAGGCTTGAGCCCATGCCTGGCATTATCAGCACCACACTCTGACCGAGGGCTCAGCTCTTTTGATGAGCCTGGGTCTGTCTAGGAATTGTAGCCTCAGTTTGCCTCGGGGTCATACGAGGAAGGGAGAAGGAATTTAACCCTTCAACCTCCACTTAGTTTCTAGCTCCCCTGCTTGATAATGTGTCTATTTTGAAGGACATGTCTTTCCTCCTTTTAGATGTTAGCAGGGCTTTTTTTGTAGAAAAAGCCCAGGAGGAACTCATTAGCATAACAGGCCACACCCAACAGCAGAAACTCATTAACATATTAGGCCACACCCCTGACAGCACAGCTCATTAGCCTATGAGGCCACATCCCCATGTTACCAGAAGTCTGGTTATCCAGCCACACCCACCTTTTGCTTGTTATTCTGTTTACCTTGTTTGTTATCAAAACCCAGGGCTTTTTTTTGTAGCAGGAACTCCTTTGCATGTTAGGCCACACATCCCTAATGTAGCCAATCCTAATGAGTTTCTGCTGTTGGGTGTGGCCTATTGTGCTAATGAGTTCCTGCTGGGTATGGCCAATTCAGGAGCCAGCCGGAACTCTGTTCCTGTGCGTTCCTGCCCAAAAATAGCCCTGGATGTTAGTAGCAAAACAGGTGGGAACAGCAGAACCAAACACCTCTCTTCCTTCCCTGCATGGCTCGGAAGTAAATTAAATCTACAAATGCCTGCAATTTGTTTGGGTTTTTTTTAATGAACAGAACCAGATACACAGTCTTCATCTTTTCCACTGGAGTCCTAAGATATCTATCCAAACACTTAAGAATGCTTAGTCTCATTACAGATGTTGTACTTATTACAGAATTGCAGCTCAGACACATTCAGCAATATTTACCATCTGGAGGGTAAGTGGTTATTGCACGGAAAGCAGTACATTTGGTTTAGAGACTAACAAGAAAGAATTGCTTAATCAGCTGTAGGGCAAGGAAAGCAAAGCAAGCAGTCTTTTGCCTCTTCCCCCATACTTCCATACCAATTCATATTGATTATCATGCCTCATGAGCCCAAATCCTTCCTTATTCTCTGTGCAGGACTTACGGGATCTAAGGTGGCCCAAAGGCATTCCTTGTGGGAAATTACAAAATTGTACAAAAATTGAGAGCCAGTGTAGTGTAGTGCAGCAGTTCCTAACCTTCTTGGTTGTGGTGAGCCACAAGTCGAAATGTACTTGATATGGTGACCAGTGTTCCCTCTAAGCTGAGTCACTGTGAGCTAGCTCACAGTTTTTGAGCCTCCAGGTCACACCTTTTTGTCTCTGCTCAGGAAAGAGGGGCTTCGGAGCAAACTCATTTATGCAGCAGCCAAATCTCTCGCTCACCACTTTAATGCCAGCAGCTCACAAAGTAGAATTTTTGCTCACAAGACTCCATGGCTTAGAGGGAGCATTGATGGTGACCCATTCAGGGTTAGTCCAAGGTTTTTGGCACCCTAGGCAAACTATGACCATGGCACACACCAAGTTCAGCACCCCGTTTTTTACAATGGCCAGCCAGATGCTTTCGAGGAACCAACAAACATGGCGCAAAGGGCTCAGCTGCCCCCACTATGAACCTCAAGCCAGTGGCATTCGGACGTTCATAGCCTTTGCACAGAGATGTTACATTCCAGCTTTTCTCCACCTTCTCCAAAACTCCCTCTAATCCCTCATAGAACTCTAAGAAACTCACTCTAGTAACCACCGGGGCCCATTTTACTCGATCAACATGAATATGCAGTGAAGAAAAAATATCAACTGATGGATGACATAGAAAATATTGTTTCCAGGGTCAGATTTTGGTTTCCAAAATACAGAAGAGCAATGGAAAAGGCAGGAGCGGACATTAGCGATGGCTGGCCTGCAGCCCACTTTCAGAGGCTTCATGACCCACTTTTGATTCCTGACCTACAGGTTGGGAAACCCTGGTGTAGAGTATTTGACCAGATCTATGAGATCTGGGTTCAGATCCCCACTCTGCCATGAAACTCCCATGGTGACCTTGGGCCAGTCACTCACTCTCAGACTACCCTGCCTCACAGGGTGGTTCTGAGAATAAAACTAGGAAGGGAGAACCACGCATACTGCTTGTAACTCCTTTGAGGAAGGATGGGATAAAAACTATACTAGGCAGATAGTATATAAATAACCACAACCAGGGCTATTTTGGGGCAGGAACGCACAGGAACGGAGTTCCGGCTGGCTCCCAAGTTGGCCACGCCCACCAGGAACTCATTAGCATAATAAGCCACACCCAACATCAGAACCTCATTAGGATTGGCTACATTAGGGGGGTGTAGCCTAACATTCAAAGGAGTTCCTGCTACTAAAAATCCCTGGGTTTTGACAACAAACAAGGTAAACAGAATAACAAGCAAAAGGTGGGTGTGGCTGGATAATCACACTTCTGGTAACATGGGGGTGCGGCCTAATGTGCTAATGAGCTGTGCTGTCAGGGGGGTGGCCCAATATGCTAATGAGTTCCTGCTGTTGGGTGTGGCCTATTATGCTAATGAGTACCTGCTAGGCTTTTTCTACAAAAGAGCCCTGACCACAACGATGATGATGATGGTAATGATGATGATGAATTGTGAATAACATCATAAGACTCCATTTTAATAGGCAAGAACAAATGTGCATGCGGCTCCTGCTGTTCTGTTGGTGCTTTGGCTTTTGTCTATCTGACGAATTATCCATTTTTCTTCTCACAGATCCAACGGTTTGCCTTAAAACACGATGCCGGACTCAGTTCTCTGCCTCTCAGTGTTGCACACTGTTTGTTCTCATTGTTGGGTTTCATAATAAATCTGCATGAACAGACAACAACAGAACGATTAAGAAGGTCGAGTCTGACTGCTATGAATGGCCAAGGGGCTTTTTCACTCTCTCATTTTCCTCTCTTGTAAATTCCTGGGGGGGGGGTTGGGGGGAGATCAGTCCCACACATGTATTGCTCCCTCTAGTGGTTAATTCTATATTGCACATGTTTACATCCAGCATATTTCCGTGCAGATTTAAACAGCAGGCTTTTATGCTGGACATAAACTGGTGTAATTCTGAATCAGCCACTAGAGGGAGCAAAACATGTGGAACAGTAAAAAGCTGGAACTTATAAGCAAGGAAAATGAGAATGCAAAAAAAGTTCCAAGCCTGAGTGAAGATTGGCATCTAGTTTTGTTCGAGGGACACTTTGATGGAGGACATCTCGTCACCACCCCAGCTACCAATGCCCATATTCCCAATCACACCCCCCCGTTTTGCCTCCCAGGTTGGTGACTGGGGAAGCCAGATGTCACTACTTATTGGGCCAGACTTGGTCTATTGGCCTCCCGTTGCTGATCTCTAAGTTAAGCTCTCCAGGGGAGATTTATGAGAAATTACTAGTTACAAAGGGATGGTTGGTGTCATATCAGACCTTGGCTCGCTTTAGCCCATGTCAGTCACTACATTCTTGGTGATCCCACTGCATGAATGGGGGTCAGCCTTTTCTGTGCATAAGGCAACGTGCATAATTTTGAGCTGTGGTACACATGATTGGAAACCTAGATTTGGGGGGGCGGGCATCTGTATGTACTGAAGCTGAGAAAAATATGCTCGTACAAAATGGCAGCTATACGTTTCGGGATGATCAGGGAATGGCATGCTGTCCTGTTACGTGAGGTCAGAGGGCCAAAATCATAAAGACTGAAAAGTGTCCCTTTCATTTCACACAGATCAAATCCTTGTGGCTCAAGAACGGAGTATCGGCTTGGCACACAGAAGGCCCCAGATTCAAACCCCAGCATCTCCAGTTGAAAAGACTCAGGTAGCAGGTGATGTGAAAGACCAGAGAGCCGCTGCCAGTCTGAGTAGACAATACTGGCCTTGATGGACCAGGGTCTGATTCAGTACAAAGCAGCTTCATGTGTTTGTTCATTTACCTCTCCCTTTTTTGCAAAGGGGGAAACCTGCAGATATCACAGATTCTTTATTTTATTTTTATTTTATTGATTCCTTAGATTTGTATCCTGCCCTCCCCGAAGGCTCAGGGTGGCTAACAAGGGCCTAAATGCCAAATTCAAACAATAAAAACAATATAAAAATACAATGATCCAGCATAATACATTAAAATTAGTAAAAATAAAAATATCGGTGCTCCAATATTCACTCCGAACCATAAAATCAGGATGGTGTTCTGAAGATGATAGGACAGAACAACAACAGTATATGTCCCCACAACCCTGTCATCCGCCAGGGACGTCTCGCACCCCCGATGATACCCGCACCAGCGGTGGTAGAGTGCGTTGATGGAATAAGCGTTGGTGGAATAATGGTGGCGGCGGCTCCTACTCGAAAGCCTGGCGGAAGAGCTCCGTTTTGCAGGCCCTGCGGAACTGCACAAGCTTCAGCTTTCACACCTGGCCTCCTAAATCTCCCCCTGTTTTTATCTTTGAATTGTTGAAAGAGGTACTATGTTTTTAAGAGGCATGTGGAAGACGGGTTTTTGGCAGGTGCAGCTTGTCAGTCACCAGTGAGAAACTGCACCCGCTGAAACTATCTCTCCTGCCCAACTATTAAAGGTAGAGGAGCCCTGTCTTCATTGACATCTGGGCACGTGACACATCTCGATTGCCGACCTGTTTCCAAGGATGACCTTGAGTTCTAGAATTGATTTGTCTGTAAATAATTGTCCACCTTTTTTCTCCTTTTCTTGCTAGGAATTTCTTCAAAATAGAACAAGAAATGCTGACTATTTCATTGGACTGGAATATCCAGATAACGGCAATAAATGGTTTTGGCATGACGGCACAGAACCCAGGGCAGATTTGTATGTTTCATCTTTTTTCTCACCCTTCCTAGCACTGCATCCAACACTGGGACTGATTCTCCACAAGCAGCTGTGCCGCCCTCGCTCTTCTCTTTCCCCTGCTTGCATTGGTCAGTTTCACACTATTCGCTGCGTGGCCGCATTTTGACCCGCAGCTCCCCCCGATTTCCCCCGCGTCTTCTCGAACTCAAAAAACAAGGATCAAGAAGACAGGGGGAAATTGGGGGGAGCTGTGGGTCAAAATGTGGCCACACAGCAAACAGCTCCCCCCAACTTCTCCCTGTCTTCTTGATCCTTGTTTTTTGAGTTCGAGAAGACGCGGGGGAAATCGGGGGGAGCTGCGGGTCAAAATGCGGCCACGCAGCGAATAGTGTGAAACTGACCAATGCAAGCAGGGGAAAGAGAAGAGCGAGGGCGGCACAGCTGCTTGTGGAGAATCAGTCCCAGTGTTGGATGCAGTGCTAGGAAGGGTGAGAAAAAAGATGAAACATACAAATCTGCCCTGGGTTCTGTGCCGTCATGCCAAAACCATTTATTGCCGTTATCTGGATATTCCAGTCCAATGAAATAGTCAGCATTTCTTGTTCTATTTTGAAGAAATTCCTAGCAAGAAATAGAGAAAAAAAGGTGGACAATTATTTACAGACAAATCCATTCTAGAACTCAAGGTCATCCTTGGAAACAGGTCGGCAATAGATTCAAGATGGACAAAGGGAAGTATTGGGTTGGTTCCAGCCTGACTTTTCCCCTGGCATAGAGCCCACCCCCCCAAAGCTGCTATCTTCTCCAAAGGAACAGATCTCTGTAGTCTAGAGACCACTTGTAATTCTGGGAGATCTCCAGACCCCACCTGGAGGGTGGCAACCCACCCACATCCACCAGTTCCCAGCTCCTGACCTGTGAATCACTACCGCTTAGCTCTTAGTCCCCACCCCTGAATTCCTGTGCCTGATCATTGAGATACCTGACAAGCCTAGTTTCAAGCAGTTTTATGGCCAAACAGGAATGCAGCTTTCTACAGCACTCCTCTGCACACTCATATGCTCCCCCCCCCCGCATTCCTAGGATGAAGGTCTCCTCCCAGTACCTCCCCATTGCCTAAGCTCTCCTGTACACTGTGCTAAAATGAGAATGCCTATGTGGCCCAAGACACCTTGGTGAAATAAACAGAATCTATAGCCCCACTAATACTTAAGCCCAGCATCATTATTTTTTTAATGTGTACCTGCCTGATTCTAAGAGCATGGAATGTAAACTTTGCCCTGGCCAGAGTTACAGCCAAAAGACATGGTGAGTGGAAATCATACGAGCAGCAGGAGACCTGCTCAGTAAAGGCAGTATGAAATTTGAGACAGATGGCAACTAAATAGGAAACAGGATAAAGTTTCAGTTACTGCTCTGCCACAAGGGCAGAGTCACTGGGGTAGTGACCTGACAGTTCGGAGAGTGGTAATGCATTTATTCTTGCAAGGAAAAATAGTTGGCAAAAAAGTGAAACTGTTAAAAAGGTATGATAACATGGCAAAACAGGAAAAAAGGGGGCTGAAAGGGCCCCCAAAAGAGAGGAACAACGTCTTTTGGCAGCTAGATTAGTAGTTTACTGATCTAATCTCCTCAGCAAATCGATAGCCTTATGGTCTGCCAGGAAGAGTTTAAATTTTATTGCAGCTGCCCAGGCCATAACAGAAATCTGACCACAGCCTGTTTGCAATAATAAATTAGAATTTATTTTTAAAGCCATTTATTTTTAAAGCCGGGTATTTTTAAAGCCATTTTCAAACTGGGGCTGCATTTCAGCTGTTCTAAATGGCCAAGCCCCGAAAATCCCGAAAATATTCGGGATTTTTGGGACTGCTGGATAGCTGAACTTAAAGGGCATTTAAAAGGATTGTGGTCCCTTTGGATATCCGGTGCGGCGCTGCGAGACAGGCATGCCTCTCGGGAGCTCCCGGGACGCCTGGTTTTCAAACGCTCTTTTCGGAGCCTCCCAGGATTCGGGGGGCTCTGCTTGGACTCCTGGAGGGAGACCAAGTGCATGAGGCTTTTTCCGGGGGGGCCTTTTTCCCTGGCAAGGAGGGGGGTGAGACCGGCTCGCCTCTAAGTGGGAGCGTTCGAAGAATAGGAATATGTTCGCCATGTTCCTGTATAGCAGCAGCCAGCCGTGGTTTTAAAGTTTCTGTTTTTTCTTTTTGAACGATATCTTCCATGTCGCGTTGAAGGATGTTGATTATCCATAACCTGGTCGAAGAAGGAGAGCTTACTAGGTACCCCCTTTGTAAACTTTTCTTGTGAGTAAGAAAGAAGCAGCCGCGAAACGTTTTGAGGGAAACGAGAGTGAAGAAAAGCTTTGGGGTAAGAAATAGTTTTGCTGGAAGTAGCATCACTCCTTTCAAAGATGAGATAAGACCATTAGAATGACTTTGGAAATATATATTGGCTAATTGTTATGAAGGTGGGAAGAAAGTGGAGCTAAGTTGGGAAGAAAATGGAGGCGGCCGCTGTTTGTAAGGAGATACAGGAGGCAATACTTTCTGAACTTAGGTCAGATTATTTCCAAAAAAAACTTTGGCAGAAGAAATAAGGAATGCGCTTAAATCAGTTTGGGACAGTGTTTTGGGAACCCCACAAGGTGCATACGAAGTGGAGAAGAAGAAAAATATAGAACAATTAAAAGGAATACAAGGACGGGACGAAGTGCAGGAAGCCAATCAGGAGAAAGAGCAGCTTGTCATTCAACACTCACCTACAGAAGAAGAGATACATGAAACAGATGTATCGACTTGTGGTTTGGAAGAGGAGAAAACCACAAAGGCAGGACTGGGAAAAAAACGTTTGTCAAATCATTTTTGGAGAAAAAGAAAGAAGATTAAAAGGAGAAAGAAAATGACGAAAGCTCCAAAAGACGCCAAGGACATTAACATTAAACAGCTGAATCTGGACACAAGGAGCCGCAAAAAAGACAACCGGGAAATTAACTTAAAAGAGTTTAAAGATCAAAGGCATTGGAGTGAAAAAAGGGAAAATCAAAGGAAAAAAGAAATAGAATATAGTGTCAATGTAATGAGTGTTGCGGATTGGTTGCTGGTTAATGACCCAAGTTAGGTGGGCTTTAAGCTGTGAGGAAGGATCAGAGGTATAACAAGAAGGGTGAGAGAGCTAACATATATAGGTTGGTGATAAAATATGATGAAATGTAAGAAATAGGTAATACCTGCCATAGCAAATTAAAAGCAAGGTTAAATGAAATTTAGGTTAGAAGGAAACTGTATAATATTAGTTTAAATTGTGATATATCACATAACTTTTCCATATAAGCTGATGTGTTGTTCTGGTAGATAAAAATTTAAGTTTCCTTAATAAGAGACTTGGGAAAATTAAGAGAGATGGCATATATAGACTGATGGTAAAATATATCTAAGAATTTGAAGTTTGGGTTCTGGCGCGTTGAGATAAAATCAAGGGGAAACAGAATTTATTGACTTAAGTGTATTATTGAACTGTTAAGTAAATCAAATTTTGGTATGGTACTTCTGACTGGAAATAACAACACTAAGAAATTAGAAGTGGAATCTGATGGTGATGTGAATATTCTAGCACAATATTTCATTTCTGACTATTTACTCAGTTAACTATATATTCAGTCATTTATTTTTATTTCCTAATTGTCTTAAAAGATAATGACTGGAAATAAGTAACCTAGATGGAGACCAGTAGATGAATTTTGAGGGTGACCAGAGTTTATGCAATGGGAACTACAAGCTGCTAATTATGAGAACAGAGGTAACATTAATTGGTATACATGAGAATGGAGAAATCTAGAAATCATGTAATTAAGTAAATAACTTGTCTTAGGTGACATGGAAGGCAACAGTTATATTATAGGCGTATGGTGGTGGTGGCTGTTTATGTGTGTATTTGTTTTTCTTAAGTTTAAAAAAAGCAAATAAAGATATATATATATATAGGATTGTGGTCCCTTTAAATGCCTTCTCCAAGCCTTGTGACTCCATGGCAAATGAACTTCAAAGGTGTTTAAAGGACTTGCATCCCCTTTAAATGCCTTCTGGGTGAACTCACCACTTGGAGGTGTTTAAAGGGACTGCAAGCCCTTTAACTGCCTTTGGAGTTCACTCTTCGCAGAGTCACACAGCTTGGAGAAGGCATTTAAAGGGACCACA